ATATTTCTTAAGCTACATAGGATAATAATGTTGATCCGTAACTAGACTAGTTTTTTTTCTTTTCTTTTCTTTTAATCAGTCCTTATATTTCTTTATTGAATAAACAAATCCTGTAACAGGGGTAATTTTTTGGTGGGTGGAGAATATTAGCAAGGGCACAAACCAAGAGGGAGAGAATCATTTATAAACTAAAAAGAGGGAAAACAAAAAAGGAAAAACTCAGTGTGAAGAGAAAAATCCCGATGATAATTGACGCATGAACCTTTTCCTCCCATGCCATTGTCCTTGCCATGTCTTTCTCTCTGCCTGCAAAACAATTTTAGTAACAAATTAAAAGAGAAAGAAATGTTTGAGAAGAGATTTTTCCTTTTATTCCCCTGCCACCCTGAGTAAGAAAAGAGGATATGTCTTACAGTGCTCTCATTCTTTTGCAAATGTGTGGTCACATCTGCTTCATTTTTAAAAGAGTTAAAAAGCTGAAAGGGAGTTGGTGGAGTGGGATCAGAATATGAATTTTTGTTTTTCTCTGGCATATAGATTGTGATTCTTTTCTCCAATAACTGTCTAGTGTCTACTATGTTGATAAGAATCCTAACCTGGACACTGATCCGTTCAATATCAATTTTACCTTTACATTAAAGGAAGTTGTTTTATCAAATAAGAGATTTTACATTAGCTCACCTTAGCCTGGATGTTACTTTGTCCAGTGTAATAGGAGAAGAATAAATTTTGTTCCAGAAATCAGATTACTTGATAAGAAACCTGATTTACCTAATCAACTCTCAAAGACTGTAGAAATTTACATCAATAATTATTGGTCGAAGCTGGAATAAAGTAAGACAGTGTTACACATAAGGATGAGGCATTACCAAACCAAAGCTTCCATGGAATCTCTTGTTTTACATGACAAATGCTGTAACTATCCACATGTCAACTTACTGCTATTATCAGTGACCCATAATTAGCTTGAACCTTGAGCATTACCTTTTACAGAGATCACTATCAATAAAAAGAAAACAGATGACTTCCTTTACAAATTCCTCTTTCTAGAATATAACCATTTGTATAAGTAAAACTCAAAATCCTGTGGTATCCAAATGTGGAATTATAAAGAATGTAATCACATCTACCACAGAAGACAAGGTTCTTCTAAAAGTCTTGACATATTAAGTATGTAAAGTATTGAACAAGACAGAATTCTCCAGAATATTCTTGTGTAAATGCCTT